TCACCAAAGGCTTTGAAAGAACTTAAAGTCATTGCTGACACAATGGAGGAAAAGGTGTTAAAACCCACTAGGTTATAAGGCATCAGATAGGTGCCACACATTCATCAAGCAATTAAAACACTGCTGTCATATTTTCATGCAATACTGGCTCTCTTTGAACATGATTCTCAGCTAGCACCAGGTAAAGTACACCAGATGTTAAAGCCAGAGCATCATTTTTGGCCACTAAAATAAAAGACTGGAGAGTTTGAGATTTATGTTTTTTGTGGGAGATCTTCAAATAGTAAGTACCCTGAGTTTAAGCTTCCAGAAAGATGGTGCTACTTGCATTATCTTTCCAGATGCACTTCAAACTTCTAATCTGGAGTTGATTCAACTTCAACAACAGCCTGGAGTTCAAGAAGTTTCATTGATGCTGTTCAGGTAAACAATAGCCAATGCATTTTCAAAGATATTCAACTAATACATTTTAATACAAATCATGATTTTGTTGATTTCCAAAATGTTATTGACACTAGGCTAGAAAATCCTAATGACCCAATCAATCACATTTTGCAAGGCCTGTCAAATCTTTGATACCTGCGACTGGCCTTATAATAGACAGCTGTTGGCCGGGTATGGCAACCAACAATTAATTAAGTATTGCAAGATCATTTTCAGCAGGTGTTGGATACTATTGGGTGTGACAAACTAAGATTACAACAGGAGTGGGTACAGCTTAAAGTCTATGTGGGAAATATAACTATGTATTTCCAATACAACTTTTAATTCAAAATGAGCCTCAAAGATCCTAAAATATTTTGATGTTGGTATAAATTGTTTTTGTTTTACCCATTGTAGCTCTATTTGCAAGTGTGGATTTTTAGCCATCAAAAGGATTAAGTCTGATTGGAGGTCTTGTTTGACCACTGAGACAATAAATTCTCTGTTGACAGCATCTATTGAGGGACCAAGATTACACGACTATAATGAAAAAAAGGTTTTGCACTTGTGGTGGTCCTGGGGTCAGCACTGTCCTCAGTTTGCAGATGGACCTAACATGCTTCAACTTGATGAAGATGATCTGTTAAACTTTCGCTTCAACCATAATTAGATCAGAATGTTCAATTCATATACAATGTTGTGTTACATTTATTCAGTTGTTAATACAGTTGTTTGATCATTTAAAATTAATCAGTGTCTGTTAAGTGAGGTTCAAAGAAGCTCAATGTGGTTATCAAAAAGCATACAAATTAGTAAGGTTAGAGAACAATATAAGACCTAAATAAAGGCAGAACTGATTAACTCTATATATATATAAAAAATATATATATAAAACTCCTAGTAAAAATGTGTAGGATCTAATTGCTTAACCATATCGGCACGGGTACCATTTACTGCGCATGACACAAGGTTTTAGAGTCTTACATTCAAAATTTTTATTAAACTACTTTA